GTCCCTCAAAAAGCTAAACATAGAGTTACTGTGACTCAGGAATCCCAATCCTAGGTACATACCCCAAAGTTGAGAAAACAGGAACTCAAAAAAATTCCTATACATCACACTCACTGATGCATTGGTCACAACAGCCAAAAGGTGGAAAGGACCCAAGTGTCCATCAACAGATGAATACACAAAGACTCACTGTCGTGGAGTCGGCCCTGACTCACAGCGACCCCTCCTTGGGTTTCCGAGGCGGTATCACTACGGAAGTAGATTGCCCAACCTTCCTTCCAAGGAGTGGCTGGGGGGTTTGAACCGCCAGCCTTCTGGTTAGCAGTCAAGTGTCTTAGGCACTATGCCACCAGAGCCCCCTTAAGAGATGAACGGATAAACAAAATGTCTATCCATGCAATGGAGTATTGCTGTTGTCATGTGTCACTGAGCTGATTCCATCTCATAGTGACCCTATAGGATAGAGTAGAACTGCCCCACAGGGTTTCCTAACTTGTCACTTTTACAGGAGCAGTTTGCCAAGTCTTTCCTTCTGCAGAGCAGATGGTGGGTTCAAACCACCAACCTTTTAATTAACAGCCAAATGCTTAACCATTGTGCTACTAGGATTCCTTCAAGGAAGTATTACTCAGCCATGAAGAGAAGCAAAGTTCTGGTACATGCTTCAACATGGGTGGAGCTTGAAGACACAATGCTGAGTGAAATCCGTCAGACACAAAAGAACAAATACATACAGGCATCCACTTAAATGAAATATCTAGAACAGGCAAACTCACGGAGATCAAAAGGACAGAAAAAGATGAGGGGTCGCCAGGGGATGGAAGAATGTGGGAGAAAAACCAGAGTCCACTTCACATTAACCAAAACCAAATTCACTGCTGTCGAGTTGTATCAGACTCATAGCGACCCCTCCTTGGGTTTCCGAGGCAGTATCACTACGGAAGTAAGATTGCCCCATCTTCCTTCCGAGGAGTGGCTGGTGGGTTTGAAGCGCCAGTCTTCTGGTTAGCAGTCAAATGCCTTAGGCATTGAGCTACCACTTCACATTGGGGAACTATATTTTATGCAATTCCTCAATAAACACTGAAAATGGTAATGACCATAGATAGGCATGGGGAGCCGGCCTCATCAGAACACTTGTAAGTGGAACACCCCGTGAGGACTGCACACACGTGGCTCTTGCTGGCAGGAAGCCCTCCCACGGGATGGGCAGACGTGATGGACCACCCACCACCCAGATGGTGGGAGGAGCTTACATTCCAATCCAGCGAGGTCACATCCTTGTTACTGGGCACATCGTGCCCCCCTTCCCGTATACAGTGCCTCAACACGAGCTGGGTGGAGCCCCCATTGCTGTTTTCATTCAGGTTCCATATCCTCGCAGTAGAGTCTCCGGACCTGGACAGGAACATGAGGACACTCAGTGTTGGCTGATGTGGACAGTTACCAGCTCAGGCACCTGCTGGCCGGGCCAGGTACCCTGGGATGTGCTCTGCCGCCCCTCCAATCCCTTCACTTGCTGGGCTGCCCTCCTCACACTCGGACTTTTGTTATGCATTCACTGTCTCTCCCACAAAGTAAACCCTTACTTCTTCCTAATTCCATTTGGGATTAGGGTTGTTGTTATTAGGCTAATGAGGTCACAGCAGAGTTGGGTGTTTTTTGCTTTTTTTTTTTTAATTGTGATTTGGGTGAAAGTTTACAGAGCAAATT